TTTGTGCCAAATCTGGATTTTGATAACACATTCTATGACCAGGCTCAAATGGGTAGACGAAGAATGCTACATTTGCGTCAAAGTTTTAAGCTTTTCGTGGATAGAGTAATGGCTTTGCAAGGGACTGCTCCGTTAAACAAGTTCTCTCTGAAATGTAAGATTGGTTCTGATCCATCTCGAGTCAATGGTTGGGTACTCAAAGTGTTGGAGCATGGTGTAGTAGATCTCGATCTATATGTCGCTTCGGAATATAGTTATCCGCTGCCTCCAAAGGTCTTAATGTGCAAGACATTAGTTAGTCTGAAAGTAGCATGTACAGATGAGTTCACCTTTGATGTGAGAGAATTTTGTCTGCCAAAGCTTAAGACTGCGTTTTAGTGATGTTTCGTTCACTGATGAGAGTGGTGCTGCATTTGCCAAGCTAATATCTGGTTGTCCCGCGCTTGAGGAGTTAGTTATGATCAAAATGACGTGGGATTTCTGGGACCCTTGCATTGTGTCCAACCCAACCCTCAAGAGAATAACAATTTGTTGTGAGAACATTGACGAGAATCCAAAGAGTGTATCTTTTGATACTCCGAATCTTGTCCACTTAGAATTTGCTGATACTGTTGCGGCCAAGTATCCAAAAGTTAATTTTGATTCGCTTGTTGAAGCTAATAGGCCTTCGAATGACACCTGATCAGGTCTTTCGCTCAAGAGATTTAGTAAATCGTCATTAGGGTTATACATTGCGAAAGGGCGGAAATGCAGCAGATTTTCTCAAGGGAATAAGCCATGTGAAGATCCTTTACTTATCGTCTGAGGCTCTTGAGGTTTGCATATCAATCCCATCTATATCTTCTTCAGATAACCTAGAACTCAAATACTCTTGTTTCAGTTTGGTAAGTTGTGAGAGTTAATGATTTGCAAATGAATAATGATCTAGTTGATTTCTTTCAGGTCCTTACTTTCTGCTGTAAAGCAATACCAGTCTTCAATAACCTGATTCATTTAACAATTGAGACTGATCAAGATGTGGACTAGGAATCATTGCCGAATCTACTCAAGAATTGTCCAAATCTAGAAACCCTTGTCTTTGAGGTACCATTACATATCCTTTTCATGCATCAGCTGACACATTTGTTTTCAAACACACTTCTGAATATCCATTTCCTTTATTATACTTCAGGGACTTCATTATGGAGATACAAATCAATGTATGGATGATGGATACCGTTTCAAAGACACAAACAGATGTTTCGAACTTCCGGGCAGGGACAGGTGTGAGTGCAAACCTTGGCATGGCATTCCTATTTGGCTATCATCAAGTCCGGTTAAGACCCTAAAGGTATTCGAGTTTGGAGAAATCACTAATTATAAAGATGACTTTGATAGGCAGGTGGATCTGATCAAGTACTTTGTGGAGACAATGCCGAATCTTGAACAAGTGATATTATACTGGGATACTCCATTTGATGATGATCTGAGTATACAGTTAACTGAATTTCAGTTGCTTGAGAAGGTAGCCTCATCCAAATGCAAGATCCAAGTGATCTCTGATAACATCAGCCTCTCATCTACTGTGCACTCTTCCTCATCGACAAATGGACCCGTCTTCTTTAAAAACAGATTTCCGGTTTGATGATCATCCTCTGCTTCGTCTCAAAGAAGTTTAACAAAACATTGGTTGCTAGTTGTACTCTGCTCTCTACTCTTTAAGCTACTCTATATAATATGTACTTCCTGGTTATTGTTGGCTACAAGTTTTTGTAAACTTTGCTTAAAGGTCTAAAAACTCCAAGCAAGCTTCTCTTGTTTTTGTTGTTTAAAAAGACTTTGGTGTTATGCTTTGTGTTTTGTTCATTAGTCTCTTACTATTTCAACTTCTCAATTTGCATTCTATGTACATTGGTTACATCTTTTTGCAAGGCTTCACAGTGCCTCAAAAATAATAATGGCAATTGCATAAATTAGGAGTAATTTCAGGACGACTTATATAATTTAATTAAATTAAGAACCAAATTAGGGAATGATTTTTGCTAAAACTTCAAAGAGACACAGACACACCAATCACTGACCACTTACTTATACGACACCGTGTAGCATTGAAATTCACCCATCCCGCCACTTTGCTATCTTATTGACATAAACCCTAATTTTCATTTCCCATTTCCTTCTCCACCACAAACGTCCGAGTCCGATTGTTCTGAAGCTGTCCATGGGCATAAGTAAGTTTCCTCATTTCTTCTTCTGATTCTTGTCTCTCACTCTGCTTTTAATTCTTCTCCTGTTATTTGCTTTCTTTGTGCTCTTTTTACTTTCAATTTTGTACGAAAAGACAAGACTTTGGAACTGTTTCGCAATTTGGAGTGTTTTAAGTTCCGTTTCTGAGAATTCTGTTGTTGTTCTAATTGTTTAGGTTGAAAGTGTTGATCTTTTGTTCGAAAAAAAAGATGGGTTTTGTCTCCAAGGATATAATCAGCGGTCTACCAAATCCTCTGATTTCCCACATCTTGTCTTTCCTTCCCACAAAAGAAGCAGCTTCCACATCAGTTCTGTCTAAAAGGTGGCGTTTTTCATTTGCCTCTGTAACAAATCTTGAATTTGAAAACGAGGACGATGAGGCTACTACAAGTTTTATGGATTTTGTGGATAGAGTGTTGGCTTTGCAAGGGAATGTTACTTTAAACAGATTCTCTCTAGACTGTACTAGTGATTATCCTGATCCAGATCGTGTTGATGGTTGGATATCTAATGTGTTGGGACGAGGTGTGTCAGATCTTGAACTGAGCCTCTCGGAATATTGCTTACCTTCTAAGATCTTTGTGAGCAAGACACTGGTTAAGCTGAAATTAGGACCAGGAGATGATCTCAGTGTCAGAATTGGTGTGGGAGATGTTTTTCTTCCAAAGCTTAAGACTCTTGATCTTGATGCAGTTGTGTTTGAAGAGGAAGGTGTTGGGTTTGCTAAGATTCTTTCGGGCTGTCCCGTGCTCGAGGAATTAGTTATGATGAATGTCATGTGGGAGAGTTGGAAATTCTGCTCTGTGTCTGTCGCAACACTCAAGAGACTTAAGTTTTTCTACGAGGAAGAGTATGAAAATCCGAAGAGCGTGTCGTTTGATACTCCAAACCTTGAATACTTGGAGTATTCTGACAATGTTGTGGGAAAGTATCCGAAAGTGAATTTCAGTTCGCTTGTTGAAGCTCATATCGGTCTTCGACTCACAGAAGATCAGAGTGGAGATGCAAACTCTCCAGAGGAGGATGGCTATTTCTCGGAAGATGGCTACTTCCCGGAAGATGGCTATTTTTCGGAAGGTGATGTGGAGAAACCGATGGTCGGTAATGCGACGGATTTTCTTATGGGAATAAGCAATGTTCAAATCCTCTATTTATCTGCCAAAGCTCTTGAGGTTTGTATGATCAATTCCATCTTTATCCTAATCTATTTTATGGTACTTAGATTAAGATTTTTGGAATTCGAATATCCTTGTGCTCTTTTAGTGTAACATTGGTTATAATGGCTTCAGTTAGTGAGTTTGATTTGGTTTTTTGTTGTTGTTTCAGGTATTTGCTTTTTGCTGTGAAGCAACACCGGTATTCAACAACCTGATTCAGTTAACGATTGAGAGTAACGAGGAAATTGGATGGAATTCATTGCCAGGACTGCTCAAGAATTGTCCAAATCTAAAAACCCTTGTTTTCAAGGTATGTAAAGAAACTCATTATAGCATCTTTGTTTTATCAGTCACATGAAAAAAAAAAAACAAATCCAAGTTTGAAACATTTTCTCTAATGCTTCTTCAGGGTCTGCTCCACAAACGTAACAATGGATGTGGGAACTTGTGCCTTTGTAAAACTCCGAAGAATCCTTCTTACCTTTCATCTTCTCCTTTGAAGGTGCTAAAGATATTTATGACTGTAGACGTCGATGATGAAGGGATGGAGATAAACCAGATCAAGCATTTCTTGGACAAAATGCCGCGTCTTGAGCAGTTGATAGTGTACTACAATATTTCATTTGACCCTTCTGTGTTTGAACTAGCCGAGAAGCTTCAGAATATTCCAAGAATAGCTTCAACAAAGTGCAAGATCCAAGTAATCTCTGTGAATCTTAGCTTGTCCTTTACTTTGCCTTCTACGTTATCAAAGAAATGCTCTGCTCCTCCGAATGAAGAATACTCGTGGTTTCTCAATGCTTTGATCTAAACTCAAAAGCAATTAAGATTTCCTTTGTTTATGTCGTATGTACTCTGCTTTTCTTTGCTCAGGATCTTAGTTTAAAGACTGGTTTTTTATGCTTTTGTTGTCCTTTTTGAAACTGAAGATGTTATAATCTATGTGTTCTGTTAAAATGTTGTTTCTTAGTTGAGTGGAGACAATCCTTGCTGAAGAAGTCACTGTGATGTTCAAGATCCATTTCATTGGGTCATTCAGATTTTGCCTCAATGGTTAGGCTACTCTGCTTTTAGTGGGTTTAACCAACCGGTATGATAAAACCGGATTGTGTCTCAAGTTGATACAGCTACAGAACCAGAACAAAAGTCAATGCATTTGAAAGTGATGGATTATTAAAATATCTAAAAGGAATGGACACAAACTATTGTAAACACATGGCTTGCTTCTTCATGTTTCCAAGACATTTTTAATACCAAATTACTATATCTTTTTATCAAGAAATTTTTTTTTTCTTGATAAAAGACATAATTTTCTTCTTCCACTACCGTCTGATTGAAGTTGTAGGGTGGTTTTGATGGGCTCTGCTTTTACACCGAACACAAATAAGTTTTCTTATCTCTTCTTATGATCTTGTGATCTCAAAGGATCTGTTTTTTTTTCTTCTTCTGTGTTTGTGTTTGTCTTCTTGAATCTTAACCTGACCTTACGAGACCTTGAAACTGGTTTGGAGTTTAGGACTGTAGATTTTGGTATATTGAGTTCAGCTTCTGAAACCCTCTTGTTGGATATATATATATATATTGTGCAGGTTTGTAATTGATCAGTCTCACTAAAACATGGAAGATTGTTCCAAAGATGTAATCAACAATTTACCAGACAATCTCCTTTGTCAAATCTTGTCCAATCTGTCTACAAAAGAAGCTGCTTTGACATCACTTCTATCGAAAAGATGGCGGTACCTCTTTGCTCTGGTAACAGATCTTGATTTTGATAACTTTTCCTCTCTGCATCCGGATAATATGGTGCAAGATCAGACAAGTTTTATAGATTTTGTTGATAGAGTGTTGAGACTGCGAGGGAAAGATCGTGTTAACAAGTTCTCTCTAAAATGTGGAGATGGTATTGAAGATGAAGATGTCTTCCCTTGGATATTGAATGTATTGAGACATGGTGTATCAGATCTTGCTTTACATGTCTCTCCTGCATTGGTTTATTGGTTGCCTTCAAAGGTTTTTACGAGTAAGACACTGGTTAGTCTGAAGATAGGACCTAAAGATGGTCCAAGGATTAAACTTAGAAATGTTTGTCTTCCGAAGCTTAAAACTTTGAATCTAGATTCAGTTGTGTTTGAAGAAGGTGAGATTGGGTTTGCAAAGCTTCTTTCTGGTTGTCCTATGCTTGAGGAATTAGGTTTGCGTAATCTTGCGTGGATATCTTGGGATTCTTGCTATGTAGCTTCCAAAATCCTCAAGAGACTAACGTTATGTTGTGCAGACTATGATGAGAGTCCGAAGAGTGTATCATTTGATACTCCAAGTGTTGTCTATTTAGAATATTCTGATAATATTGCGCACTGGTATCCAAAAGTGAAGTTTAAGTCGCTGGTTAAAGCTAGTATCGATATTCGGATGACGAACTATCAGAAAGAAAATATGAGACATGTATTGGATGATGATGAGGAAACAGAAATGGTTGGTAATGTAACAATGTTTCTTATGGGAATATGCAATGTGAAGACACTTTTCTTATCTTATGACACTCTTGAGGTATGTGAATCTAACATTACTTAGGGGTTTTAGTTAATTAGTGATTGGAAATGAGTGATAATCTTGTTGATTTTCGTTTTTGTTTCAGATACTAAATTTTTCCAACAGCGCGGTATTCAACAACTTGACTCATCTAACTATAGAGAGTAATCCGGAAGTAGGATGGGATTCATTGCCAGATCTTCTCAAGAATTGTCCTAACCTTGAAACCCTTGTCTTCAAGGTAAACATATTAAACCCTTGAGATGGAATCTGTTGAAACATTTTACATTAAAGTTTTGAGATTTTTTTTTAGGGACTCATTCACAAAGCTACAAATAGATGTGGGGATGTGTGTTTGTGCCAAGGTTTGGAGAAACTTCCTTCTTCCCTATCACAATGTCCGGTGAAGTTTCTAACGATTCTGAAATTTGGAGAAACCGAAACCGATGATGATGATTACGAAGTTGACATGGAGAAGGAGATGGAGAAGATCAAGCATTTCTTGGAGGAAATGCCGAATCTTGAACAATTGATAATATACTATAACACATCAATTGATGATCATTTGGTTGAAGTATCAAACAAACTTCAGATGCATCTTGGAGTAGGTTTGCTCAAATGCAAGATCCAATTAATCTCTGATAACATGAGCTTATCAATTACTTTGCCAATTCCTTACTGATGAAATTTGCATTAATCCTGTAGAAGAACCTTTTTTTGCTTTCTCAACTCCTTTTGGACTACAAGTATCCTTGTGTGTTTATGCTTTTGTTGTGGAGAAAGTTAACTTCATA